ATATCCTAGTCTCATAATTTGATATACCTACATAATTCACAGAAACCCAATATGTAGATGCCAAAAGTTAACTTCAAATGTTGTTAATCACCCTATATACAATACCAATCAATGACGTTTATGTCGCAGGTTGAAGAAAGCAGTAATTCCCGTCTGTTGTTTTGGACAATGGTGGCAACTGCCTTAGATCGCTAATTTAAATAATTATGCAATCACCAAAGCAAAGTTTATAATATTTTGATTAAACTAAAGGCGCATAATACAATTTTCATTACGTTAGGCATACATAGCAATCTCATTTATTATCAATTTATAGTTCTCTTTGTAGTTTTCTTTTAAAGCGTTGACATATAGAAGGTCAAAGACTTTGTGATCGACCCTTTTTATTGGCAGTGTAAAGCTCGAATGAAGAGTACTTCCACCTATCAAGCGTGCTGGTAGCACCAGCCTAGTAGGTATTGCAAATAGTGCAATCATGGCAATTATTTTCCAAATATTTTTTTTTGCATAAAAAAAATACCGAGTAACGTATCACTGTTAAGCATAAATGCTAAGTAACTTTTACAAATATAATCAAATAAACCTATTACCTACTTTATTTTTAAATCTTTTTCATCAATTAAATACTATTATCCTAACTATCTATACTAATATTATAAAGAGGCAAGATTTGTATGTTTGTAACAAATAATCTGTCAAACTACTGAACCGGTTTCAAATATTAATTCATCATAAGGTAGCTACATTATTTATTATTACATTTTTCTTTATTTAAATACATTTTGTACGAGTGACATAGGCTATATTTTATCCCGATAAAATAAATTTCGCCCGTACAATGCCCGGGTGGATCACTAGTAAGTATAATATAATATTATAGATAAGTGAGTTTGTTTTTTGCGCTTCCGTGCCCTAATAGCTAAATCGGTTATAATGAATTCCCCTATAGAAGTAGATGGGAACTTGGTTCTTAGCTACAACATCGCAATACTTATAGGCGTAGGGTGATGAAAGGGGTGATTTACCTATAATAATCTATATTATTTACTTTGAATTTTACAGAATTATCGTTTATAATTACAAAACCAATATCATCGCGAGCTGATTAATAAATACAGGGATTTCAATAAGTATGTACCTACTAGCGAAAAATGGGTTATTTGTCATTATATTATGTAAACCTTTTTTGTAACAATAAGTAATATCGTTAAAAAAAACAGTATAATTCTGAGTTTTTCATTAAAATTCAATAATCATAAATACCTATTATGATAATTTATTTTTCATCATTTAATAAGAAGGAACTGTACACAGTTTCATTGTGAGTACTTCGTATAGGATCAGATATTGCGCGTAGCCCATTTTTTTCTTTTTCGCCTAGGTTTTATCCACGTTTATAAACACCTAAATTAATTTTTTTCTCTTAGTATTCCCGCAGTCTACTCCTACATAGTAAGTACACCGCGCTATCACTTTGTCATCGCTGTAACTTTTTAAATATTTGTCAAAATGACATAATGTAAAAGGCAAAGTTTATAGTCTTTAAATATCAAAACCGTTAAAAGTATTTGTTTTGATAAAAAATAATTTGTTAATACAAAATGTGCATTTTGGAAATAGATATCAAATAATATTTTAGTTTTTATTCACTATTTTAGCGGTAATGGCTTAGACATTAAAAATAGATAAATGGTGTCACGGACTTTTTTAGAACTATTTATACATTTTCACTCTACATTATATTCATGTAACTTTTGTTTTTGCAGTGCAGGCCAAAATGGCTCGCAGATGGGAGATTTTTTTCCGTCTTATGTGACACTTATTGTTATATTTTGGCCAATTCACTCAATAACTACATAAATATATTATATATATGAAATTATTATATATGAGCTATATTACTGTGAAGTTTCATTAAAATCCATACAGTATTTTTTACGTGAAAGAGTAACAAAGATCCATACAAACATAAGATAGAAATTAAAAGCGATATACCACTTTAAAGCGTTGTAGATCCTAAACAATCATATAAAATGAAAAATGGTGTTAGAAACATGATTTTCGATTATCTAGACAGTGATACCCCACTCGACATATTTTGTCAATGTATTTTTATTTTTTTTACTTCGTCACAATATGGTGCCTAATTTTGCCCATATTCAATTTTGATTACTATCATATCTTTAGTAGCACTCCCATGGTTGAGACGAATCGATTGATGTGTGAATCATCAAAATCGGTCTAGGCGTTTGGTCTCTAGTGTGCCACAAAGGAACAAACATACATAGATAGACTGTTAAACACTATACCCTGTCTGCGCGTCGCGCTTCGCGCTCTTGCATTGCGCAGTCGGGTAACCAGGTGCTACACCACTGCACCAATCTGTCGTCAGAACCGCTACCCATTGACGATGGAAAATTGCCACTTGGAAAACGTTGATTGAATAACCAGTCAATTGTAGGCTTGATAAAGTTGCGTTTACACGTAATGTTGCATGTATAAATGCATCGGTGCAATGGTGTTATGTAGCACCTGGTTTTGTACCCTTGTGTACCCTTCAACGGCCAAGTCGCACAACATTAACTATAATGGTAAAGTAATCGCAGTAAGGAACCTTAGACTTGGTACGACTTTGTCTAGATTTCATTACTTTTAGAGATAAACAAGCAGCTCCATCGAGACTTGGCTAGTTTTTTACAGAATGTTTTTGGTGGGATTTCACTTCTTTTTGTAGAAACATCGGCATATTGATTCATTTTATTAGATTTTCTTATTAGACACATTTTATTTCTTTTTAGGAGTAATCTTTTTATTATTACAAATCTTTCTTTTCTTTTTGTTCCGGTTCTTATCCTTGAACAGTAGCAACAGTTTTTCGATTTGCCCATTCGCGTTCTTCATTTATTCTTTTAGACGGTTTCATTTCTGAAAGATCGGCACGGTATTTACGCCTAAGCCGGTTGTATTCGGTGATCGCTGAAGCTTAGGCTTTTATACTCTTGAAGTCAACATTTATGAGGTGCACCCCATGAAGATTGGTTACTCATGAAAGCGCCACGTAGGCTTGGCCACAACCACAAGAGAATATGGAGGTGCCAATGTCCATGAGGGCATTTTTTAGACTTAGACCTTGGTATCACCGCCACTCTTAGTCCAATGCATTATATTTTGACCAAATTTTGAGCGAAATTAATATTTAAGTGTAATTTGTTTATTTAATTTGTGTAATGTTCGAGTAGAATAAAGTTAATCGTTCGACTATTTTTTCTTGTAAACTCGTAAGTATAAGTATAAAAGCCAGTCTAGTGTTATCCAGAGTTTTCCTTTAATTTTATTTATATGCGTGTTAAAAGTAGAAGGGGAGGCATTCGGCCAGCAGTGGGACGCTATAGGCTAGATTAAATTAAAAGATATGTCCCACTACGCTGGATTTTTGCAATGACAGTCAATTTTTGTGTGTACCAATAGTAGAAGGGAGCATTACCATATCTCTAATATAGCTGAGACCAGCTGAGGGTTCTTTATCAGATACTTCAGACCTTCGATTTTTGACATCAAATGAAGCGGGCCACCAAGTTGAATATTTTTTGTAAAGGCGGTATGTCGATCTCTTCTAATAGTTTAGTTAGCCTCTTGTGTTTTCTAATTAGGGTCACCAGGTACTCCAGATCTTAGATTATCCTAGTTTTAATTTAATAGTTTTCCCTTTATGTGGCCATTAAACCCTAACTCTGTACCAAATTTCAGCTCTCTGAGTTTATGGGAAGTACTAGTTCTATTCTGATGATCATGAGTGAGTGAGTGTCATAAATGCGAAACTTTTCTTTCGCTTAACTTCGGAAATAAATGACCTACAGACTAGAAATTTTGGATTTTAAGTATGTTACTATAGCTTACTGGATGAGGAAAATTTCTGCGTTATGGTCTTATCCAGAGGTTCTCAAATAGGGGCCTGAAAATGCGGGGAAATGGTTCCAGTAAATGCGGATGGTACGGCAGTATTTGCTTCGCGCTCGACTTGGCGCGGGCACTGCCGTGCCCCCCGATATTGCTTCGAACAAAAAGTATACAATTATAATTGAATTGTGAAACAAATCAAAATCCCGATTTCTTAAAATTTTTCTCTAAGAGATGTTCTAGAACTTAGTTGATAAATAGCCCGTATAGCTCTTTTTTAGAAGATATATATAGTTACAATATTGGCTGCTGTTCCCCAGAGAATAATATAATAAGATACTATTGTATACAGTTCTAGCAGTAGCTACATCAGTAAGTTGTTTTATTTTAAGTTTGGCATAGGCTGCTGAACTAAGTTTACCAGCTAGCAGAAAAATATGATGCAATTTTGAGTCTACCTAAGTATATCGTTAATTCAACTAAATCTGTTTTATTTTCTTTTTTTATTTTAATTGTAATGTTTTCGATGTATTTGGTTTTATTTGCATTTTTTTTTAAGTTATTTGCATTAAACCAGTGCAATACTTGTGAGGGAGCATTATTTACAAAGTCATTCTTGTATCGGTCAACCTTAAATAATAAAGAGGTATCATCAGCAAAAATACAATATCACAATTTTTTTCCACACAAATGGCAAATCATTTATGTACAATAAAAAAAAGAAACGGATCTAAAACCAATCCCTGGGGAACGCCTATTTACACATAAGAACCAGATGACTTAACACCATTTACCTCTACAGTTTGAACTCTAGAATTGAGATAGAATAGTAGCAATTTATGGGCTGCGCCTATGATTCCATAGTGATTTAACGCAGTCAAACGCCTTGGATAAGTCAAAAAATAGTCCAAGAACATTCTGCGACTTCTTCCAGGCTTCCAGTATATGTTTAATAAGTGCAACACCCGCATCCGTTGTTGATCTACCTCTAGTAAAGCCAAATTGATTATTATGTAATAGTTTGTTCAAATTGACATGCGATAACAATAAATTGATCTAAAATTATTTTTTCGAAAATTTTACCGTATGAATGAAACGCAATATTGTTTCAACTGTATAAGTGATGTATAATAAACAGAAACACATTTTCACTTAAATATCTAAAATAATCAGAACACTTCATTCTTCTAAGTCACGAGACAAAAATATAAATTAACCATTAAAATAATACTGTATTCATTCTGAATCCGACAGTGGGATGCTTTCCTGAAACAATAAGTTTTTTCTTTTCATTTACAAAAATATTATTTTGGATAATAGGGATGGATGGATAATTAAGTTTAAAATATTCAAACATTTACGAAACATTGTTAATATATTTTGACCCCATGCTACAGAAATATTACGTATTTTTTTGCATTAAAAATGTGATTAATCACAGTTCAATATTCTACAGACAGGATAAAATACGGAAATATCTTTAATAATTTTATAGATACTACACAAAATCGGTGCTAGACAATTTTGGACTGTTTTTTCAATTTAAAGTTATTGTGAATTTTGTTAATTTTATTAATGATTAATAAGAATAACTTATTCAAGAGAATCTCAGTGCGTAAGTTTTTACGATACTAGAACACATTCATGGTATGGTAGGTACTAAACTCAATATTACAATAAATGGTCAGAGTGCAGACTTACCTCAAATTCTCCTATGAATATGTCAGAATCATCAGAATGAGGCGGTTGGTCAATATTGTCCACGGCTGTGATCTGCGGCCCTGGTGATAATAGTCACAAGACATTATACCAAGACATAATGTCAGGCTTACATTAAATAGTGTCTGAATAACATAATTATGTATTCCAAACTATGGTTTTTCACATTGCCAACCAGGTTGACGACAGCGAAACGATATGAACATAAATCTGCTTAAAATAAAATCTGCTAAAAGTTTAGCAGTACAGAAACTAAATTGCCTTGTATAGTATACATTTATATAATTATAACAAATAGTGTTCATTACACAAAAAAAATGCATCTACTGGAATTGTAACCGAGAACCATAACCACCTACAACCTTGATTTTTTTGGTTTGGAGTACTGTAACTTATAAAAGATGTATGTAGAAGGAACATGTTTTGATGCAGTTTTGGAGCTGGTATACTCATCATTCATTTAGAGTGATTCACACTGTTCTAAATTTGAACTACAGTTTATTAAAAAAGTGGAGTTACGTTGAAACAAGGAAAAAGAACATTTTTTTGAAACATTTTTTCAAGGAAAAAATCTAATCGATTTTTAAATAAAAGCATGTTTTACATGAAAAGAAATGTTTGTTTAGTAACTTGTATTGCCTCCCAGTGCATTTATGACAACTCTCATACGGTTTGGCATAGAATTAATCAATGTCGTTATGACATGTTGAGGAATGTCCTCCCATTCTTCCAAAATTACATTTTTGAGCTCCTGCATGGTTTGCATGGGCAGGATGATGAGCTCGAACACGCCTCTTCAGCTCATCCCATAGATGCTCTATAGGATTCATATCAGGACATCGCGCTGGCCATCTCATAATAGTGATACCAATGTCATTTAAGTACTCCCGGATGATTCCCGCAGTATGGGCCCTTGCATTATCATGCATTAAAACGAAATCTTGGCCAATAAATCCAGCATATGGCATCACGTGGTTCTCTAAACATTGGCGAATGTATCTATTGCCATCTAGGGGCGGCAGTCGTGGTCCCGTCACTACCTCTAGCTCAGTTTTGCCTTCCATAGAGATTCCTCCCCAGACTGTCCATGATCCTCCACCATAACTCACTTTCTCGTCAATACAGCATTGCGCGAATCGCTCGTTCTGTCTTCGGTACACCTTACTCCTTCCGTCATTACCGTATAGCATTATCTTGGACTCATCTTTGAAGAGAACCTGGCTCCATTGATGTCGAGTCCAATTTAGATGTTCGCGCGCAAACTCTAGACGGGCTATTCGGTGTGCTTGTGTCAATTTGGGTCCATTGGCTGGCTTATGGGGCTTTAAACCAGGTTAATTGAGTCGCCTTCTAACGGTCCGAGCACTTACAGCCACTCCGTGAAAGTCCCTGAGCTGTTCTTGTATCTGAACAGAGTTAAGTCGTCGATTTCGTAAGCTAGTAGTGACAATGTATTGATCTTGTCTCGCCGTTGTCACTCGGTAACGAGGTCCTCCTGTTCGCCGAACGAAGCCGCCAGTCTCCAGGTATCGGTGGTACACTCTTTGAACAGCGGAACGACTTATACGAAGTTGTGAACTCACATCTCGCTGACTTAGCCCAGATTGAAGAAGCTTGCGCGGCTACTTCAGGTGAAGTATCCATAATTTTATAGCCAAAAACGGTTCAAATTATAGAAAAGTAACTAAACTAAACTTTGGATTACAACAATTGCGTAAATTTAAACCAAATCGAAATTAAATTGCTTCAAAAGCAACATTCAACAGTCATTATTTTTCAAATCAGTGACCAAGCTCGGCTTTTGTTCTTTATTTTAAATTCTAAAATTCAAATTTGGAATAATACATACGGGAAAGACGATGAAATATGCCAGCATTAAAAATGCATAAAAACTTTTTTGTTATCACGCTAATAATATTATAAAGGCGAAAGTTTGGGAGTGTGTGAGTGTGTATGTTTGTTACTTCTTCACGTCTAAACGACTGGAGCGATTTTAATAAAGTTTGGTATGGAGTTACCTGACACCCTGGATTAACACATAGGCTACGTTTTACTCTGGGAAAATATCCCTAACAAACCGCGGGTAACACCGCGGGGCACAGCTAGTATTGTATATTTTTTGTGTATTGGGCTTTTAGGCCCGGGAATGTAAGGTGGCTCGATTCAAGAGTCCGGGAGTGTATAAAATTTCCACAAGGGATTTTTGAAAACTTTAGTAAGCGAAAATATTTTGGAACCTGAAGAATTTCAAAACCCCTATCCAACCCTAATCCCTCGAAGAACCCTGAAACTATACTGATCAACAGAGAGAATCCCCAAAAGATAGAATATACTGTCGTCTAAAGGTTAAAAAATAAGCCATACTTACCCATCGGAATACACTCCATAGGCTCAAACAAATCCATATGGATCAGGTCCAGTGGAGGCGACGGAGCTGGCGGTGGCAACGCACATGATGACATACGATCACCTGTTAAATCGAACATTAAATTGTGGTTACTTTATATCATAGACAGAAAATGGATTGAGTGACACTTTGTTTTAAACTTTCATGGTCACTTACATTATAGCTATTAACGGGATTGTTACCATGTACCTTGTTTTTTATGAGTCTCCGATATTTCGGCACTGTTGCAAGCGCCATGATCACGGAGTTCACAACAGTGCCGAAATATCGGAGACTCATAAAAGACAAGGTACATGGTAACAATCTCGTTATTAGCTATAATGAGTGATACTTGTATCTACCACTTATGTAATGGACCTTCCATTACATAAGTAATGGTAACTTCCACTTCATGAATCATCTCAGATTGAAGTCATTTTTCAACTTGATAACTCTGTATAATACAGGGAAATTAAAACCGCTCTAGCTGAGTTTCTTGTCGGTTCTTTTTACAAGGTCTCCCGACGTAAATTTACGAACTGATGGCGTAGCTTCTAGACATTCATGAGTAATAATAATACACCTGTCAATGCGATGTGCTGCCTTATTTTATTACTATCACAAAGAATGTCATAGCATCAACTTTAATTAAAATTTAAAATTACATGTCTTCAAAGTACGATTGTTAAGCTAGTAAATAATATTACTTTGATCCAACTGCTAAAATTTACTATGTAATATGTACTATATTTATTCAATGCGGTGAACTTCAAAATATTAATCTCGGTCACACATGATTCCAAAAAAACAAGTAAAATACTACGTTTTAGCGAAGAGCTACCACTAGAATCTTTATATCAACCAACTTTAACGTTTACTATGTAATGTCATTCGAATCTACTATCATTTACTATGTAATAATATAGCCTTAATTCCATATTGTTAAATTCACCAGGTCTGATGGCAGTGTCATCCAAGTCACAAGGTCCATCGATGCGGCGACTGGTCCCAGGATTGGCACAAGGCTCAACCTTTACTTCACCAACTATACAATGCGTCAATTCATTAATATTCCACACAATGGTATTGAATTGTTGAATCACCTCCAGCCAGACCAGTTTTGGGATATGAAGCATGTATAGCTACTGTGTTTTGAAGACTTATTAAATAATTACACGAAATAATGTTTTAATGTCCCCCTTTCTAACAAGGGTTATCCCTTGTTAGCCATATGTGGGAGGTTCTTCCACAGTGGTTGTATAGATTCTGTGAAAGATATTTTCACGTCTGGATATAAATCCTCTGCTTTCTCAACACCTTTTCATTATGTACTACTAATATTATACATGCGAAAGTTTACATGGATCTAGGTGTGACCGTTTCGTCTTCTTGTGATTCTTTCACGCTGAAACGGCTGAACGGGTTTAGATGAAAATTAACATATACACTTTCGGACACATATATCGGCCCACCTAGCATTTTAAATTTCGACGGTCCCTAGCCATATATAAATGTTACATTGAGCAAAAAGTTATACACCTACGCAATTTTGAAGCTGATTTATTAACCATCTTTCCGTGTGTTTTTAAAATTATTGCTCAACCATAAACAAATGTTTTTGCTACATACAGTTGCTAATTTCTTAAGTTGTAACACATAGTGGGCCGGTAGGTGTGTCCGGAAGTATATTTAGTTTAATACCTAGGTTGACATGACACAGTGGTGTTCGGAAGCTATTAATAATATATTCCTTACCGTCAGCAGATAATGCAGTATGATATGCGTGATGCGGTTCTTCTACTGCGAGATGCAGTTGCCCTCCAGCTTTTATCTTTGGCACAACTATCGCTACTACTGGAACTCGAATCTGCACCGCACCGTCTAAACCAGCAGTCGATTCGACTGGAGTCTTGGGAAAATTTAGGACAATATAGAATGACACTCGAGAGAGCACATAAAATAAGAAAAAAATACTTAAGAAAGGTTAAGTGGGCTTAAACGCATTCTCCCCGTTAAAAAAAAGGTATTATATTTTTATATTTTACCTAACCCAAAATAATATTTTCAGTCCGAAATCTAACCTATTTAGTAGTGAGTATTTTCAAAAAAGTCAGGGTTCCGTTTGAAAACTTTGATAACGTAACCAACCCTGGGTGAAAAAAATACCAAAAAATAACCTTATATCGCTTACGCTGCGGAAGTCATTGATAGTAGAGCAAAATAATTTACTAAAGTTTTAAAGAGGACATCATTATCTATAAAAAAAGTCCGCGATACTATAAATGATACGATGTAACTAAAAATTTACGGTTTTCGCAAGTTTTCCTTTATCTGTACTATAAGACGTTACTTCGTACCAAATTTCAAGATTCTAAGTTCACGGGTCCCTTTAAGTTTTAATTCTCGTGCGAGTTTTGAAAATTTGCGGAAATTTGCGGCATAAACGTCAGTATCTTTTGATTGCTTTAGCTTAGAATTTTGTTTTTTCACAGCTCCAAGGGGCAGTAGATATGAGTATTAGATATGAATTTCAGTTTGATACCTCCACGCGTTCCTGAGAAAAACGGTCTTCACAGACGGACGGACGGACAACAGTGATCCTATCCTAAAGGTTCCGTTTTTCCCTTTTGAGGTACGGAACCCTAAAAAGAATAACTTATTCGTTTGTACAGTTCATTAAATCACATCGACTTTACAAGAAGAATTTCAATGATTTAATATGATAAATATTGGTTGTTATAGACAGTTATCAATTAAGTTAGATCAAAGAACGGAGAGACTTTAAATTATATTTTGATTATATTGGTTACCTGAGCAGCAGTTAATCCATCATTTTGGAGCACAATTTTACCACCAACTTTTAGATCTTCTGCAGTCGCTGGCACTAGCATCTGCATATCATGTAAAAAAATAACCGAATATACAATAAATGGAATGTGCATCAGTAATTCATATCAAAATGTAAAGATTATGTATCTAATATATATTTTGCTAAGAAACAAATATAATAATGTTCTAGATCAAAAATTTTAAAGTCTTTAGAGAATAATACGGGTTAAAATTTTCGTCACCTGTTTTCCTCCAGGTAGTTTCGTATCAATAACTTTGACTAAAACTGGAGTACTGTTATTTGGCTTCAACAAAGCAAAAGGTGTTTGCCGAGTTGCCAAAGCCACACCCATATGGTAAGTCTTTATGGGGTTAACAATCACACCACTGCCCATGGCACTCCATGGGTTTTCATTCCAAGCAGTTTCAGACTCTTGGTAAGATTTTGCCGAGTCCCAGGTTTTGTTCCAGTTAATGGGAGGTTCTTCCACAGGTGGAAGACCAACTGAAGATGTGACTTCGCAATTGTCGGTTTGAGTTCTGAAAGGATTAAGTTTTCTCAAAGAGCTGTTTGGTGATTCATATATATTACTGTGAAAGGTTTGTTACTGAATCACTTAAAAATGATAAAATGAATAGTACATTTGGAACAACAGCTTAAACGCGGTTGGTCTTAGCTCAAAGTAAATGGTGCAAGTACTTGTGTCAAAAATATTACAATACTTAGACAGAGTCATAATGGAAAGGTCAGGTTTCTGAATTGATGTGGCTACATATCAAATCTGAACGGAGGTCGTCTAAAATATGATTTGTGTGCCTAATTAGGCCTATTCTTTACATAATTCTACCACTTTCAGATCATTTTTGGAGATTCTAATTTTTCTAATTTTTAAAATGAATTTGTTCTTCAAAATCACACCAATCAAACATCCAAAACACAAAACTAAGATAAATGGATGCTGACATCAATACCTCGTAGCGTTTGGCTGTGTCAATATCAAAGAACGTCCGACTTTAGGGTCATTTCTGGTGCGTGATGCTATAGGAGAGCCTCCATCTTCGCGATGAGCCTAAGAAAAAATCAGTTTCAATAAAATTGTCACACGCTGCATTTCAAATCTTGGTAAGAACATGAGTATGAGAAGATTCAAATATTAATATGAGAGAATGCTTTTAAAAACGTCATATTTAACAATACTTTCTATTGCAACCAGCTTTATCAAAATAAAAGGACCATGACAGATGTTACAGTCACCCGTTGTAAAGGTAAAGTTTGTCACCCTCATAGTACCCTATATATTGAAAAATCTAAATCCACTTAATACACTAGCTATTTCAAGATTTCCAGTACTATACATGACACAGAAGTACACGAAGAAAGACAATGTCGAATCAGATAATGATAAAATACAAGTTAATTTAAAAACAACCATGAAGGTTCCTCACCTTATTCTTGTGGCAGACTAAGTTGGACTGCTGGTTGAAACCCTTCAAGCAGATGTTGCAACGATACGGTCTTTCGTTGGTATGAGTGAAGAGGTGATTCCTCAGGTTTCCTACATAAATCCCCATAAAAAGATTCGACTTTTGACACAGATGTTAGTTGTGTTAAGCAGGCATTGAATATAAGTTTACGAAGTAAGTAAAATTTATAAAAACGAAATCATATTGGAGTTGGCAGTATTGGAAATATTAGTTGCTGTAAACATTTTAATATAAAATAAAATAAACTCCGGAAAATGCAATAAATGTTTAAAAAATGGCTCTAGGTAAAAAATTTTTCATTCCGAACAAGCTCATGGCTTTTTCAAATTCCCAAAATCTTTTACTCATTCTTTTAATGATTTTACTATTTCTTATAAAAATAATATAAATCAGATAGCCTTAACTACAAACATAAAATCACGGACCTTTTTGGTGGAAGCCCTTTGGACAGAAATGACATTTATAGGGTTTATCATCGGAATGTGTCTTGCGGTGGGAGATGAGGGTTGAAACACGGTTGAAGGTCTTGTGGCAAACCTGGAGAATGAGAGGAAATATTGAGGATTGGGATTCAATAGGTAATGAGGTTGGATATTGATAAGGATGGGAGGAATTCGATGGAGCAGGGGTTAGCACGATTGGCCTGCGAGCGTGAAAGATAATTTCATCAAAACTATCGCAATAGTTAGTCACTTTTAGTTAGTTAGGACAAAACTTATTATCTGGAACTCCTCCGTGCTTCAGAAGGTATATCGAATAAGCCATTGATCCCGGCTGCATCTGAAGTCGTTAGCACCCACTAGGCCCGCGTGAATACTCACGGCCTTATTTAATTCATAGGGAAGACCTGTACCCCAGCAGTAGGGACATTAATAGGCTGGTGATGATGATGATGAAAGGTGTATATTTTTATGTAACTTTAAGAAGTTGTCGAATATAGTGTCGTGTTAACGGTGGTAACTAAAACATTAAAATCATTACTTTATGACGATAGAAACAAGAAAGTACAGACACTCTAAAAACTTGGAGATCTAGTAATTCGTAGTATTTTGATAGGCGTTCTTGTAACTTTATTCAGGTTTTTTCCCGAGCAATTGAACTTTGAACGGATATAAACGAAAAGCAAGTAGTAAGTGTGAGTAATTTAACACTAGACGGAAATAATATAAATACTACGATAAAGCAAAAGATACTTAAATATATGCACAAAATGAGTGGACACATAAATATGTATGTACATAATTTGAAGAAAATTAAAAGAAGAGTGATTGAAAAAGTTCTGATTGCAATTCTGTTTGTATGTGTCGCTAAAAAGCTAGATAAATGGAGAGCTAAAAATTTGAACTAGTCAATCTGAAAGTTTACCTCACAAGCATAAGGTCTGTCAGCAGAATGTATGGCCCGGTGCTGGCTCAACGTTGAGAGTTGTCTAAAACTCTTGCCACAAGCGTTGCAATGGAAGTTCCTCTCGTCAGTATGGGTTGGTAAATGTCGCATCAGAGTGTACTGGTGTTGGAATTCTCTGCTGCCTGGTTAGATATTAACAAGTTTATTAGGTAAAGATTTACATTAATAGATTAATATTAATTATAGTAATTTATGTTATTAACGGGATTTTTACGGTGTTTATAGCGAGTTTCCGATATTTTGGCATTGTCGCAACAGTGTTCCCTAAAAACAGGGTACATGGTAACAATCCCGTAAATAACATAAATTACTATTATAATGTTAGTGACCATGAAAGTATAAAATAATATTAATTATTCCAAAACTGGCTATATTACAACGGAACATCATGCCGCTATAATAACAAGAAATAAATGAACAAATTAAATCTTTGATCAAACTTAAAAATTAGTTGACTATTCAGTGCTAACGGACGCTCAACGGATCAGAAAAGGCTATTAAATTAATTCCTGTGAAAGCAGCGTGTGAAAACAAGCAAAAATGAAAACCACTTAAACCCAATGCTCTTTATTGTAACATCAAAATGATTTACGTCTATGAGTGCGACGTTTAGTTGTCAATTATATGAATATTCGACGACCTCCGTGGCCGAGTGGTTTATACGCCGGGTTTCATGGTGTCGCCAACTCGAAAGGTCCCTGGTTCTAAACCCGGTGGGGGCAGATGTTTGTGTGATGAATACGAGCATTTGTACTCCAGTCTTGGATGTTTGATATGTACTTCTATATAAATATATGTAAAGTATATGTATTCTATCCGTTACCCTAGTTATCCATAACACAATCCTTTCAGTGCTTACTTTGGGGCTAGGCTAATTGGTGTGAGTGTTGGATTTATTTTTTATTTTTTTTATATTAAAGCGTTAATGTTACTTACATATCCCACATTCCCAGAGTTTAACCGTGCGGCCATGCCTCTTCACGTACTTTACAAAATGATACCTCGAGCGAGGATCGGCCTTGTCTACCTTGTATGTATTCTGGCCTGTTTTGCTGCGATTATCTGAGGAAAAAAAACAGCCGTATATGAGCATCTTGTTAAAAAGTCCTGAATCTTAACACTAACAATCTTTATAGATATAGTCATTGGCAACCAGCAAGTTAACAAGGAGATCCATTTTACGAGTTCTTCCGTACGTCGCTCACACAGACTATTGGTCTAGACTGCATCAAATATCGATCTGCACTGATATGATCTGACGATTACTTTGGTTTTCGATTTTTTGATCGACAGACCAAGTTTTCCGCCCGCCCGTTCCAATGGTTCCAGCAGTTTTTTGCATCTCAGCTTCATCAGTTGCAACGAGTGTGGTGTTATCAGCGTAGCGCAAGTTAATAATATTGACTCCACCGATGGAAACTCCGCCTTCCCAGTATTGAGGGTACGCCGCATGATATATTCCCCATAAGCGTTGAAGAGGATGGGAGATAGGATACATCCCTGTCTCACTACTTTACCAAATTTAAACGGTTTTGAAAGAGTTTGGTTCATCCTCTCAACTCCACGGTTATTGGTATATAGTGATCGAAGAAGCGAGCCAAGATGTTGAGGTACACCGAGGTCAGATATCACATTCCATAGGCTGTTGCAATTAACGCTGTCGAATGCCTTGCTATAGTCGATAAAGCACATGACCAAGGCATAGGAAAGGCACTACAAATTGTCCACACCTGTCTGCTGATGTTGTGCCGCTAGCTCTTATTCGGGTGCACGAAAGCCATTACTCGCATTCGGGCACCTGAATCAATATTTACACTGGAATACGAGCTGGAAGACGGTATCGGGTAAAGGAAATCTATCCGAATACGGGCGTACTCGATTCCGTTCATTTCCACTTAGTCCTTTTCCCGAATTCCATTGGCACTCGTATTCGGGTTAACGACCAAGTGTAATCGTCCCGTTAAGTGTATCCAAGTGGAGTCCAGTTGAAGATTAATTATTTTACCTTGACGGCGTAACTCTAAACATTACCTTGTGAGCCATGAAATTAATCTTCCTCACCAACAGAAATATCTCAAGAAGTAAAGTGAAATGAGGTATATTAATTTGTATGAGAAATCAATTCCATAATTATGTTACCATTGGAAGTCGATGTTACGAGTTGTGGTTCCACGTAAGGTTTCTGTCGGAAAGTGAGACCGTTGCGACTTATCGTAGTTAGCGCTGAACTGGATGTGTCAGCTTCCTGAATTAAAAAAGAGAATTATTGTCAAATATGAATGAAAAAAGTACGTACTTTGATCTCTCGGTACTCAAATTATACGGTACGATATGGTACGATTTTGATTCCTAATATTTTAAACATAGTTTTAAAACATAGAAGTTTGGTGAAGAATCACTTCATGATAATGTTAGAAAACTATTCTTGTATACTACTTAAAGTCAAGTAAAGAATATACTCAAGATATGGACTTTATGAACATTTGTATTCCTTTGAGTTTACAATAATAAAAAAAATAAAGATATTAAGAAACATGGCTGCCAAAATAAGAACAAAAAATTAAAACAAGATTAAAAACAACAATATTGTGGTCAGGTGACTGTCTCCAGGTTTTTTTCAATACCGACTATTGCCAAAATTAATTCAAATTAGGGTGAAATTAAGGCACATATAACATACAGACATAAAGTCTGACTATATTAATAATAATATGGACGATTCAAAAGAGTTATATTACCAATAGTAAATCTTTGAATAAAGAATATATTAACCTCCGTAGATACTTGGCAGTCATAAAGAAATTGATAAATCGAAGAGTTTTATTTTTGAATCACCTTCATCTCACATTTCAACGCCGCGTCGAGATCCTTTCCGAAAGTAGTCTGCCCTGTGGTTCCGAAACCTGGTTCGGAAACGAGAGCGGCGATATTGCCGTCCTCCTCCGTCCATGCGAACCGTGCCTGCTGCTCCAGACCTTCGGCGAACTCATCCCGAAATATGGACCGGGAGACATCCAGCTTAAAAATTAAATACATATCTATCCATACTAAGCCTACTATATTTCTCATATTATTAATGTGAAAGTTTGTATGTTTGTTACTCAATCACGTAAAAACAGCTGAATGGATTTGGATAAAATTAGGCACACATACTACACTTATCTAATATATAATATTCTCGTGTCGCGGTGTTTGTGGTTAAACTCCTCCGAAACGGCTTTCCCGATAATCATGAAATTTTGTGTGCATATTGGGTAGGTCTGAGAATCGGACAACATCTATTTTTCATCCCCCTAAATGTTAAGGGTAATCCACCCCTAAATTTTTTTTTCAATTTTAGATATATTTTTTTTTAAATATTTTTATGATTCAGCATTAGTAAATACATACTACCCTAAATTTTCACCCTTCTACCACCAACCCCTATTTTTTTATGGCGGTACGAAGTTCGCTGGGTCAGCTAGTATATCTATAGTTTATAACCTGGATTGAGTTACTGAGGGACTGAGGGATGTTCAATTTGTTTTGAAGATTGTTTTTTGCTAATTTGGGACTTTCTTTACACTTAATTGTTAGTAATTTCGTTGATTATTTATTGTTACCTATTTGGAATTATGTGATGGAAGTTGACCTCAACACATCAACACCGTATGAAATAAAACAGGGAGAAAAAAGCAGCCCTTGCCGAGTTTCTTGTCGGTTCTTCTCAGTACAAGGTCTCCTGCCGTAGTTTTACGAACCGATGGCGTAGTTACGACTTTCAAATGTGCTTGTAAAAGCTTTAACTGAATAAATGATTTTTGAATTGGATTGAATTGAATATCAAAAACTAAAGTTGCTTAACTTCAACAATCGCAGCCGAACGCGCTAACCACTTGCGCCATCGATCGAGGTCTCCTGATACTTTTTTATAAATGTTTATGGTGTTAATGTAAGATTGACAAGGGGGTGTACACCCGTATATCCGTAGTAGAGAGAGATTATTTAAAAATTTTATTGATTTTTCTTTCTCGATTAAAATAAGTTCGATGATCTTATGAACTAATGAGAACAAAGGAGATTTCTAGGATATTTTTAATCCCGGAAAAAAATAAGTTCTATGTTCTTTAAGGTTTCTCTGAAAAATAAAGTTACCACTGACAAAGACGCGGGCGGATGCTAGTTATAACATAAAATCGAAAAATGGATATTTTCTGAACTATATTTTTTTTTATCAAAATTAGTACGCGTGGTATGTTACGGGCAATCTATATGGTTTCAGCGTTGATTTATAAATACGTCAATGGGTTTTGTAGTAGTATGGGCAGAGTTAAAAAAAAATACCATAAAACACCCTATGATTTAACGGGTTCTTATAATTTTTGCACATTATCTGGCTTAATAACATGAACATAAATATAATGAAATGTCTTACATAATTTTTGCTTGTATTCGACAAGAGCTCGTTATGAAATCCCAAGTCCTTCTTGTCAAATTTATCACTGAGACAAACTTCGCGGATGCTGAAACGATACAACAGGATTAATGAACAATAAAAAAAATAAACAACACATTCAAAGAGAAAAATAATTCAGACGCGAAATCAACGTGGTCCCGAAACAATTCCCCGTTTTGCCGCTAAAAGGAAAAATAATCGAAGATCGGCGGAACCTTATTATCTCGTCCCCCGGACGCATGAAACTGTTTTCTGGTGTTTCTTTTATTTCCTCGTCCGAGAACATCATTTATTTTTACCAATATTCAATTATTTCAACAAAAAACTCGAGAGTCGCGCGTCAAACCGTCTTTTTTCGTGACATCTATTGTTCGATTACGTTGTCATGGCAACGCGAGTTCTAAATTTGATTCTCTTTTTTAATAAATATTTTTTTAAATTCGGTAAATATTTCGACGCGCTACGCGCCGTACTCTACCGTGATTTATAAAAGATTGATAGTATTACAAACTTTTTTCGCGTAGTATGCAATACATAGCCTACTAGATTTTTACTACGACCTCTTTTGAACTTTGTTAAGAGCACAGTCCATAAATAAATTGAGGAGCTGGCGAATAAAACGGTATCTTATATATAAAATTCTTGTATCACAATGTTAGTTACCATACTCCTCCGAAACGGCCTCACCGATTTTTATGAAATTTTATATGCATATTCCGTGGATCTGAGAATCGGCTACTATCTATTTTCCATATCCTTAAGTGATAATGGTTGTACACCACCTGTAACGTAGTGTTCTGAAACCTTCAATGCACCATTCGCGGCAAAATTCAAACTACTGGGTATTGTAACGTAGTGTTCTCATATGGGTTAGGAGGAATGTTATCCCAGGAAATTGATAGAACACTACGATACATACACCTAATTTTTTTTTGGACAATACTTATTTTTTTATAATGTGGTATTAAAAAATACATGCAACCCTAAATTTTCTCTTCTACCACCTGCCCCTATTTTTATGGCGGTACGATGTTCGCTAGGTCAGTTAGTAATTACATAAAATTAAATTTTACAGGAGCTGTATAAAACTAAATGACATACCTACAGTGAGATTTTGGCATGGTTTTGAATTTATCAATTATTAATAGTAATTTTAACACTGTTATAGGCGGTTTTGATTGAAAATTATTTGAGATTCAAATTCAACGGGCCCGAAACCACCGGACTGAAAAAAAAAAGTAGTTTGACCAGATGCGTAATTATACCGTTCTGTTCGCCAGCTCCTCAATTACTATTGCAGTGGTCTGGTTTTCAATTTTATTTGATTAATTTAATGAAAAAATAATATATCTAACATATTTATTTGATAAATTATTGTTAACAATGCGGTAAGTTACTCATAAATGCAAAATATTCCGACCGACATTTTTTTACTAATTATATTAAAATGATAATAATATTAATAGTAAAATTATAGACCTATATATTATTTAAAAAGGTATTAAGGAAATTTGGATTTAAAAATTTGGACATTAAGTAATTTTTAAGTTTTTGGTCATTAAATGTTTTTGTTATTTACCTAATCAAAAAAAGACCTATAATTTTTAAGTCTCGGTAAAATTATACGTTTAAGAATATGTAGGGAAGCATGTGCTAATGTTGGTTCTCTCACAATGATTGGCCCTCTTGCATTTTCAGTAAAATATAAAATTATTTATGTATAAAATAGGTACTGAACATGACGTTATATTTTTATTAGAAATTCGAGATCTTAATCTGGTATTTTTTGAAACAATCTATCAAAAAAGTGACCTTATTTTAGTAAGGCCATCAAGGGATAGGTGTTTTTAAACACGTCTTTTAGGTTATTATTACGTAGTCCTGACATGGAACTCTTATAATTTCGTCATGACGTTATCGGTTTTGCTTGAAGACTGTTAACACTAGAGAGCTGTTATTCTATAAAAATATGTATATCAATCATGCCGACAAAATGGTAGAATAAAATTAAAAAAAAGTTAGAATATTTCCCCTACATGTAACCTGGATATTATTTTATTTTTTCATCGTCTACCCCATCGTGTGTCGTATCGTTGAATAGTTCCTTTAAAATCACTTTAGGATTCCTAAGACTATTTATCGATTTAGGGAGCCGTTTGCGAAATATTAAATTTTTTGTTCGTCTAGGGCGCCCCCCCCCCCGTAAGCCAAACTATTGGCTTGAAAAACCTGAAAAAAAGTCATGATTATAGTACTTTTCATGAACTTTTAAGGAAAACTATAACGGTTAAAACAGATTTGTTAGTTTAAGAGTAAAAGTCGTATATCTTATGTATTAGAAAATTTCTGACCTAATAAAAAATCCTTAGATTATAACATTAAAACTGACTTAGACGAAGTATTTACCTAAACTATAGACTCTTTCCAAAATATATTGTGGTGATGACGAGCAACTACGGAACCCTACACTGCGTGCGGAAAACGACACGCACTTGGCCGGGATTTTTTTCTAACTTAATGTTTCATTTTATCGTCATAATTAGTAAAATATAACTACTGCGTATGTAGATGAAAATTGTATTTTAACATTTTTAACCGAGTTTCACCTAAAATTCAACAAAACATCAAAGTTTTGGTGTTTTATTTTTGCTATAATCTGGAGTATGCCAATGCCATGTGTTTGATTTTGAAATATTTTAATGCATATTGATATTGAGCATTTCGAAGTTTTATTTTTATACTTAAACTCTATTTAATAGTACTGTTTGTTACCTGTTTAATATTCAATAAAATAAACTAATAATTAATATACTATATTAATAATTTAGACAAACAAATGAATAATTCCGCTTGAAGGGCCAATCAGTATAGAGTCTACCTTAGCTAAGTAACCTATTATAATTGAAGTAAAACATTTGAAACGAGTTTCTTTTTTAAAAAAGGAGTCGCGACGGATCAGGTTTGCATGGAGGGTGGTAGTCAGTCTTTGGCAGACTCCATTTTTTGTGACACGATCGTTTGGCAAAAAATTGTTGCTGAGCTCACACACAATGGTTATGTAACTTTGTAGAAGACTCAAAACACAAACAAAAAAAAACCACACGTATTTAAATAATTTCGTTCATATTAACCCGACATCAGCGGAGAAGAAATGTCTAAACATTTTGTGAAAAGTGCTTTGATTTATTAGTAATTCAAAGAAAATGTTCTGGTTTCCTTATTGGGTGCGGAGCCCTAAAAAAATTCCTTAAAATAAGATGTCCGCGGCTATTTTGAGTGGTTTGTTAGCATTTGAGTGCTTCGCTCAACGCATCGCTCTTTTCGTTCAAATGCTCCTCGAATTTTTGAGAAATAGGTGCTTAGACATTCGCGCACTCAAGAGCCTGGTATTAAACATACATTTTTTTATTCTATTTAAATTAATTTCACAGTCTGGAGATTGAGATTTGCATTTTTTTTACTATGTTTTTTTTCTTTTCATGTTTTTCTGTAGCGGGTCAGCAAAAGTTTTTTGAAAACGTTCAACAAACACACATACATACCTACACAAAAATTTGTTTCTGAAAATTGTTTCTCTACACACGCCATCTACTGCTCTCGTGACTGTCGTACACAGAACTACGTTCAAAAACTAACAAACAAACGATAAATGGCAAACTTGACTAAAGTTTGGTACATTTTATGTCAAAATTTAAACGGCACAATGAAAATTTGTACTCGGAGCTTAGATTTGGAATGGAGGCCCCGCTAGCGAGTTGTTAAAAAAATGGCCGATGGCTAGCTTTTTTAAGTAGGTATAACTGCAAAAAGTTGCAGATGTAAAGAACCGAAGTCACATACTCAGCAGAAGAGTCTATATGGACCTTTATACCTTTGCATGAAGTACTTAGGTAACTATATAGTACACAAATGTGGCATAGTTTAACCCAAAGTGGACAAGGAATGTCTTTGATCCAATCACACGGCTTCTAATAGAAATACCTGGGCTAATTATGAACATGAGTACTTAGTCTGGAGTGGTTTAGGAATGTAGATAGACACTCGATTAATAAAATTGTAATGACCTGTGCAGACGAGGGACTTTTGTCTGCGGAAAACAAAAGTCCCTGAATCACGAAAAATGTCCGCCGAGTACTTGTCACGGACTCAACGCATACGATGGCGAACTTTTTTGCCCGAAAATTAAGAGAAGCGCACGCTATGGACGTTAATATTCTCTCAGATTACGTTGCTGTCATGAACATGAACTTTAAGAAAAAGAAGACGTTTTAAAAGAGAATACTGGGTTGGGTGCTGTTACGATATCGCCATCTAGTCACTCTAGGTGAATCTAGATGACTTGCAAACTTCGCACTATGTGTTCAGGTTTCGATACTTGGGAACTAGATGGCGTTGCCGACAAAGTATGATGTTTAAATACGCAGGAAAAATATGTTTAAAATACTTTTTTTGGCTACCAAGCTGTAAACATTTAAATTACTTTAACCAATTTGTCTTTTATTTGGGCTTCCATTTTATTATAGTTGCATCTCTTTGATCGAGTGCGCAATGCGGACTAGAGCTCTATGCGTTGTTGCGTCTAGTGAGTCTAGTCATATGAGTTTTATTTTTCAAGGGAACATCCGCGTACTTTTGTTCTGTCCGGTCTCTAGTACATGAGACTTTTTATTTATCGTGTACGCAATTCGATCTGTTTTAAGCTATGCAATCTATTTTGACAGTCAAAGTCCACGGACATAAGTACCTACTTCGTCTGCGCAGACCATAGAGTAAGCAGGAGATTCGTACGCCTAAATTAAATCCATAGGGACTTAAATGTTAATATGAATGAATAGGCCGTTTATACAAATCTCTGGTTTAATGAGGGTGCTAATGTAAATTTACGTCACTAGTTGGCGCTACTGTGAGGTGATGTCTCTTGTATGAATAAATAGTTTTTGGCGCGAATTCATCGAACGAGTATTTAAATTGCTCCATAGATACCAAAATTATCGAATCATTTATTAACGTTCGGTTGTAATAGCACTAAAAGTTCCCTTTTTCTTCATAATACCTACTTTATTTTATAATATTCGGAGTTTATCACCACATAACATCAGTTGAGGTAGAGTCATTTGCCTATCTCGGTTAAAAAATAATAATAATACGAGGTCAAATCGCTCCTTACCAGCATGGTGGTGCTATGAAACATGGTTCAAAGTTAACTTTTTTTGAAGATATTTTTCTGCTTTCATTATAGTAATAAAAATTAGCCAAGCTCCAAAGTAAGCACAAGCAGGCAGCTTATGTTAAGTGTGGGATACTAGGATACGGATAGAACACATACATATATACTGATACAATATAATTCGTGTCGAGGTATTTATAACATATAGAACAAAATAGTACATACATTAGAAGGAAACATAATTGAAACAACAACAAACAGAAACAAAACGTTACATTTAACAGGTAGCTATTAGTTCATTTTTATTGCT